TTCTTTCCAATGCAGACATAGGGGTTTTTGCAACAGTGAGCATGCACCGGGAACTGCTTTAGCACCAGTACCGGCACAACAGTAAATGCAGTGCAATAATATGCGTTCTCATAATGTTACTATCCCATTATCAATAGTCTAATGCAGTAACACCCGTTCCCATATCATTATGTTCCAGGGACTCGATGGGAACGTTACAGGTACTGGTGTGATAAGCTTAATAGTCTGGTGGTCTATTATATTGTATTTGGGACCAATGAAGCAAATGCTTTCATATTTCCCCAAGCTTTGAAGAAGCCATTTTAATTCTTCAGTCTGTTTATAGTGCTTTATTTCATTTTATTTTTATCTACATTTTATTCTTTATTTTTTTGTAAACCCTTCCCCCCCACAAGCACACCAAATATGATTGAAGGTGGTATGAGAATACTTGCCACAAATACTAAATATAAAGATTAGGTAAATCTTGCCTGTTCTGGGAATCCAGGAAACTGCTATACTCCAGGCCAGAATATTGATCTATCCATCTCTGTAGTTTCTGCAGTGACTACAAGTGCAGAGATATTCCTCATTGTCTACAATATCTGATTGGAAATAAGCAGGGATGCTTCTCCCTGTGCAAAGGGAGGGGTCTTTGGGGAGCAAGGGTGCTGGAGAACCTCTGGCAGGATGATTCCAACCTGGGCAACCCAGATGCAGCCTGTGATATGGAGGCTGCATGCACAGCTGAGATCCGTGAGGCTGTAGGGGATGCAAACGTTGATCAGGACATGGAAAGTAGTCAGGCACAGGTTCCCCCAAAAGATCCTCTAAGCCCCTCTCACACTGGTTTGATAGGTCTAGCACATTTCTCTTGCTCACAAATATGTCATGAGCAGACAAAAATGATTAGCCAGCCGGGACTCTGTCCAGGGGATCACAGCCTCTCTGTAAGGCACTAAAGCCCTTGAGCTGTGAACTCTGCAAAGCAGACCCAAGACAGCCAAGCAAGCGGCTGGTCAGCAGTTAGCATCTGCTGCCTTTGGAGGCTTTTAAGCCTTCTGTGTCTAGCAGGGTCCCCTTTGGAAATAGGCGCACACACACCAGTCAAATGACATTCAGCAACATAGTTGTCAGGAAAAGCAAAACTGCCAATGCGATACAGTCAAGGACAAGGAGGAAGTGGGCAGTGTTGAGTGAGTTATTTGAGCTTGGAAAAGTTATTTGAGAAAAATTATTAACTGATATTCTACATTGGCTACTTCATTACAAATATGTGATACAGGGGTCGGCAACTTTTTGTTGCTGGGGGCTGGGAGGGGGGAGATGGCGCCAGGGCTGGGATGTGCGTGCTTGTGCGCGCATGCGCATTTGCCCCCGCGCATGCATGCGCACAACGCACACCATCGTGCGCATGCACGTGTGACGCAGAGTGCCATTTGGGAAGGCCCAAATGTGTGCATGACGCAGGGCACCATTTTGGAAGGCCCAACGGCGCCATCACCATGCAAATTTGCATGGTGACGGCGCCATTGGGCCTTCCAAAATGGTGACTGCTGCAGTGCGCATGCGCGCGAGAGTTCAGGTGCCATTTTGGCGTCCAAAATGGTGCCCACGCTTGCGAGTGGCATAGCGGCATGTGCATGGCGGCAGCGGCGGCGGTAGGACCGGCCATAGGCCGGTTGCAAGGCCTCTGCGGGTCACACTCGGCCCATGGGCTGTAGATTGCCAACTCCTGATGTAATATCTCCTGATCTGATATCCCCCAGCCTACCAGCTGCCACTTTGAGTGAAAGAGGTCTGGGGTACAAGGAGAATTATGTTTCCAGCCCTCTCCCACCAGTGAATGAGATGGAATAACCCGCTTGGCCCAAAGCCACCATCCCAGTCCAGAGATGCTTAGTGACCAGTCCACAGTCGTCTATCGGCAGCCCACCACCCATCATACAGGTCTGCTGCTGGGAGGCCTGCCCTTAATATGGGACAGGGTCAATGGGGCCCACTCCCACTCCCACTCCCAGCAGCCCTGCACAGGCTAGGTGACCTTGGCAATGAAAACAAGGAGGTGGGTGCAGCTACATTGTAGAAATAATCTAGTTTGACACCGCTTTAAGTGCTGTGGTCCTATGGAACCCTGTGATTTGTAGCTGTACAAGGTCTTTAGCCTTCTCTACCAAAGAGTGGTAGTGCCTCACAAAACTACAAATCCCAGGATTCTGTAGGATGGAGCTTTGGCAGTTAAAGTGGTATCAAACTGGATTATTTCTGCAGTACAGATGTACCTTGAGAGGCCTACCTTCAGAGGGAGATTGGAAGGGACGGGCCCATAGCTGATGTACCTCAGTGGAGGGGATAGAAGAGGCTGTAGATCTGTCAAATCCAAAGCCCTTTTGCTTTTCATGCATACAGCAGGAGATGAAGCGAGAGAATCTTCCAGCCCTGAAGCTGTGATAGTTTATTTCTGTCCCACTGGAACCAA